ATGTAGAGCAGCTAAATTTCTGGCATCCGACGCAACACTCTCCTCTAGTTTCTTAACGCTTTTGTCTTTGTTTTTATCACTATTGTTTTCAAATATCCCACACTGCGACAACAGAGGATTTGTTAAGAATGGCGAAATGTTGTAACAACTTAAGATGCATATTTACCGTGGAGGACTTAAAAAATCAGTGCACTTTCGATAGATTTTCGCCGTAATAAATTACTTTTTTAAGTCGAAATTATGGTGAGATTAATTACGAACCACAAATGCATTGGACGTGTTCTCTTGTAAAAGTGTTCATATAACCTACTTAACTGTCTCGAAGTCTCACTTATGCATTTTAGTGGCTTTTATTACAGAGTGTGGCGTTTATTGAGGAGGCACGGTGGAGTAATGGATAGCGGCTCGAATTGAGGAATCGGAGAGCCGAGTTCGAATTCCAGTCGAAATCATTACATTCACTTATTTCCTTTGGGAAAGGTATTAATCCTCTTCTTCTCCCCACCCCCCAGATATGGGTAAATAGCAGGACAGACCGGGTTCTATAGCCTTAAGTGGCAACTGGTCTACCACAGAAAGAAATGGCAACCTACTGCGGGAAAAAATCTGCCTCGTCAGTCGTGTATTACATAACTGACTGTGGCGTTTATTACAGACTATGGTTTTACGTTGTTATTTTGTTTTTTGAATTCATTAAGTTTTTCTTATAGGACGAAACACGTTACATGGGTCTTTTCCATGTTGTCATTCATTTTTATCCAGTACAACTATTTACGTATAATATTGCAATATTATATTAGACTAGGTGTAAGCATTAGTTGTCACTTGTTGCTTTTTATCGTAACACTCATGTTATTTTAAAAGCAGCATAGATCGAAAAACGAAAAAGTAATTTACGACGACATATAAATAATCATCTGTTATGTGACATCTGTCCTTCTTTACGGCAGCGAATGTTGGACGACTTCGTCAAAGATGAATAAGAGACTCAAGGCGGCAGACATGTGGTTCTACAGAAGGATGCTAAGGATATCATGGACCGAGCATGTGAGCAACAATAAGGTCTTAGAGAGGTTGCAAACAAGGAGGAGGCTTATATTTAACATCATGAAGAGGCAGCTGAAGTTTCTGGGACATAATGAGGAAGGAGGGTCTGAAGAATCTGATACTCACGGGTCTAATAGAGGGAAAGAGATAGACTAGGGAAAACAACGCGTGACATACCTAGCGGACTTAAGCAAGTGGATGACTGAACGTGGTCTTGGGGAGGAAGCAGAGGGAAGGAACTTGTTGAGAGCTACAAGGGATAGAAGGAGGTGGAGAGCCATGATCGTCTACGTTCTGAAAGGACATGTTACATAAAAAGAAAAAATGAATAATCAGGCTTAGGAGTGTGTCTGTCAAAGAATGTCTATCAAATAAGTAAATCAATTTAAATATCTGGGAAGTGTTTTTACAGAGGACGGAAAGGGCAACACCGAAGTCTGAAGGCGCGTTGTGGTAGCGAAAGATGCCTTTCAAAAGCAAAGTATTAAGAAACAGAAAAATTTCGTTGCAAACAGAGAAAAGGGTACTGAGCTGTTATGTAATATCAGTCCTCCTATATGTCAGTGAATGCTGGACAATTTCTTCACCGATGAAGAAAAGACTTGAAGCCGCAGAAATATGGTTCTACAGAAGGATACTGATAATACCATGGACCGAATATGTGAGTAACAACATAATTTTAAAGAAAAGAGAAAGAAAAAGGACCCAAAATTAACAGCAGAAAGAGACAGTTGAAAATTTCTAGAGCATATAATGTGGAAAGAGGACTTGGAAAATTTGATACCCAAAAGTACAGACTGGAAGCAAGAGAGACAGAGAAAAACAACACATAGCCTATCTAGAAAGCTTGAGTAAATGGATGATTGAGCAAGATTTAAGAGAGAAAGACAATATTTATTAAGAGCTACAAAAGAAATTGTGAAGAGTCATGATTGCCAACGTCCTGAAGAGACATGACACAGAGAAGAAAAACCTCTACACGCTGAAGTTAAGATCTGAACGAGCCCCACACACCTCTCGCTGATGACATACTCCTTTCGACACCTTGACCAGTAAGTAGCAGCAAGAACGCTATACTCTCCACCTTTATTTCTAAGATAACGTTACTTTACTAGTTTATATAAAGAAAATAAATCATTTAAAATTATTTAATCAAAACGCACTCTCTTGGCCTCTGTTCATTTATTCCACTCTGATAAAATATTAATTATTTTTGTAAATTATTCTTCATTCAGTAAATCCGCGGAAGATTACTTCAATTTATTCCTGATTAGAAAGCTTCGTGTCTAGAAGCATTAAACTGTGGTAATCTGTAGAAGAGATTCAAGTAATTAGACAGGATACAATTACGCTTCCTTGATTCAATTGCGTTTTCCTGATTAAAAGTTAAACTTTTCAGATTATAATGCAGTCAATATTTTTATCAGACTACAAACATATTTACCCAACTTCGCAACTTGCTCCTCATAAGAATATTAACCTTACAAATAAACTGCCGCGCAAATCTAAAACATTGACCTAGAAACTCTTGCCATGTACTTAAATAGCCTCATCAGATCGAGATAAAACCGTTTTCTCAGATCAGTAGTTAAAAATGGCTTCGAGCGAATAAAGCCTGAAGGTTTTATCTCATGAACTGGTGCTATAGAATCACAAAAGAAAACTATACCAACTAACAGAAACCACATCACTTGAGAACATTTAACAGCAACAACAACTAAAAAGAAAAAATAATGATAATCAAGATGGCAGCATTATATACTACTTCAAACAAAAGGTTACGAAGAAAAGCTCCATCAATAAAACGATAACAGCTATTGGACGTGAAAAATATATTTTCCTGAAAAAATGTTTTACTAGGATAATTTTATAAATGTCAACAGAAAGTAGCGATGGCTGCTCGGTTAGTGAATGCCAAATGTTTCCTTATAAGGAAGTGGCTAATATTACCAGTTAAGCTCCAGTAGAAGACTAATTATTACTCCATGAAATATTCGAGTCGTAAATCTTACGACTAGTCCTCTCTTGGAATATTAAGGTTTGGTAAATATTACTATCCAGCAACGAATTTAACTAAAGAGAAAAAAAAATACTCACTGTCCCTTTGCCAAGCCAACGCAGAGCAAAAAAGAAAAGAGAAGTTTATCTTTTTCAAAGAGAGAGCGGCATACATTAGTGTAGACACTGCGCAGGAAGTAGTCATTTAAAGAATTGATTCGTTTCACTAGATTCGTCGACGGTTCACTGTTTGCGATGGCCTGCAGAGAAATTCAGAAAATAAAAGCGCTCAGATAATCAAAGAGATCAATAATTAAATTACTTAAAGAAGTGTTGTGCTTCGGTTTATCATTTGATATCTATTTTCTTTTTTTCTTTTTACTGACTTTGTCAGCTGACGAATACGAAAACATTCTTACTTGCAAATATAAATTGATGAACCAGTTCAAAGAATATTGATACATGGGATCGATATTTGCCAGGTCCGAGATAGTGAAAAACAGAATGCTGCTGTGTTTAGCCACCTAGAAAGAGCAAAGAAGACACATTTCAGAACTTTGAAGAAGGGATAAGGTAATATTTTGAAACAATTATCTGAAATTTAAAAGTAGAATTAATGTAATTGAGAATGTTATTCTACAGTAGCACGTAGATGCCGACTCGATTTGAGCGAAAGTCAGCAAGCTAATTTCGCAGACTGTTACACTATTATTATATACTTGTGTAAGAGGCAATGAAACAAAAATCTTGAAACAATATATTGAGATGCAATAAAGCGAAAATAAAGAATTCACATCTAAAATAGAGGCCAATGAACCGTTTAATTAATCCTTACCGTTATATGTTTTACACGTTGAATGGTATCGATAACACATTGATTACTCCAGGTATTATATAAATCGCTTTTTCTCAATATATCATTTCATGTTAAAATTTTATGTGTTTAATATAACAGTAAAATGGAAATATCTCTTGCAAAAAAAAAAGATTAACAACAGAACGACAAAGATGGCGATTATTTTAATCATTTTTTTTTCTTTTTGTAAAATATATTTTCCATGTTAACAGTTTTGCACGTCTTCGATAAAGTTTAAAAGAGGCAAGTTTTCACCAAGAAAAAAATAAGAACATTTTTTTTAATCAAATACAAAGATGGGTTTACCAAACCTCGTGAGTGAAAGGGTTAGCTGCCAGATGTCAGTGTTCCAACCCCGCTTAAGGGTATGAATTTAATTATGACACCCTACGCTTACAAACCTTTCCCACTTAAAAGATTGCTATAATTTAGTCTATATTCCTCCCGGCGTCAGTTTAAACAGACGCCATCATTTCACCTTATATATTGTAGTCATTACAGATAAAAACCTGAAAAATTTCCAATATATATCAGTGAAATTCTACTTTCAATTATTATAGGTTATAGCCTAGAAGTATGGGTAAAAAAAACAAAGTGTCGTTTTAAACAAATTTAAGTTAAATTTACTTAAATACTAGTGCACTCGTGCCGTCAAAAAATTATGATAATTGTTAGAAAGTTTTAGTGAGATACAATGAAACAAAAATCTTGACACAATTTATTGACATAGAATAAAGTGGAGATAAAGCATTGCAACTAAACTAGAGGCCAAGTGAACTGTTTAATTAATCCATTCCCTTTATATATTTTAGACTCTTAATGGTATCAATAATTCATTGATTACGTCTCTTTTTGTATAAATCTCTTTTTGATCAATGTCTTTACATGTTTGAAATTTTATGCGTTCAATTGTAAGATTTTTGTGGAGATAATACAAGTCCTACTAATTAACCCATAGCTGAGGGGAAGAGGTGGATTCATCTCTTTCCCATTTGTATTTGCGCGTAAGCGAATATAATGAACCCAACTGGAGTTGGAACTCGACTGTCCGAGTTTCAATTCTGAATCTTTATCCATTACACCATTTGTACATCCAAACTTACAGTACCAGGTATTCCCAAGCGGTCACCCATCTTGGTACTGGCTAAGCTTGACGTTGCTTAACTTCGATGATCCTACGCGAATCGATGTTTCAACGTGTTAAGGATGTATAGTTGTGACTATAACACTCAAGATGAGAATGAATCTGAATAATAATGAATACGGTAATGATAATCGAATCGGTACAGACACGACATGATATCGCAATGGATTTTTTTTTTTAATCATTTCACCCCAACCAAAGCAATAAAGCCAATAAGACGCAAAGGGTTACTCAGTGTGAAAGAACATGCAAAAAAAAAGAAAAAGAAAACACTATTAAGAAGAAAGAACAATAAAAGAACAGGAATTAAGAAAACAGAAGATAACGACTGACATTGCATTTAAATTTTTGAAGATCAAAGTTGTCTGGAAAGCAAGGAACCGGAAGTGACTTCCACAAATGAGAAATGCGAGTGAATCAATTGTTAGGCTGCAACTTACGGTTACATTTGGTCATTTCAGTCGTAAAATGATGAAACCTTGCTGCCAATCTAGTACTGCACTTAAATTCTTAAAGTTAATCATCAAAACAATTACCAATGAAATATTTATAGAAAAGGCACAGGGAAGCTTCGTTACGATGGTGCAAAAGTGACTGAAGCTGATTGGAAAATATCTACGTTCTTGAGTAAACAACTAAGTTGTGCCAGTTGGTTCGAATAATAATATATTTAAAATTATGTTCGTTTTATGTCAACAACACAAAAGACGAGCCCATCGTTTAATACCAAACGATAATATTAACACATTAAAAACTCCTCTGGATGTAAAGTCAGCAAAGAAACAGGCAATTTGAATAAAACAAAACGCACTTGATAAAGGTCTACATTCTCATCCCTTGTAACCAGTTTCTATAATCATAAGGATGATGATAAAACAAATTATTAGCGTGTAACACGAACACACACATACACACACGTATATAAGATTTAAGAGTTAAGAAACAGCAGATATTTCTATATATAGTGCTCAAGATTAAAAATATTAAAATAATATTAAAATTAGAGCGTTAATAAGATTGTATGAAAAGATTAATTAACATTTAAATATCAATTTTTATTCTGACATCTGAGTAAAAAAACCGATTGAAAAAGATGAGGGCTAAATTGAAAAAGTTGAAAAAAATGGAAATACCATTTAAAACCATAACCTCTGAAAACTACAAATTTTAACAAGAAACATCGATGTCGGGATACAAATTGTTATTTAAAAGTTAAGTAATCGTTTCATATAATATATCTGTCTATCTATCTAACTATATATATATATATATATATATATATAGAGAGAGAGAGAGAGAGAGAGGGAGAGGGAGAGAGAGATAGAGATAGATATATACTCTAAAATATTGAAACATTGAAGAGAGTCGGCTTTTATATATATATATATATATATATATATATATATATATATATATATATATATATATAAAGCCCGATCATCCTAAAATTTGACCAGATATATTTTATCTTTAATTACTTTTTGATCAAGACCCACGACACCTCCTTACACACACACACATACACACACACACACACACACACACATATATATATATGTATATATATATATATATATTTGTCTGTCTGTGTGTGAGCGTGAGTGTGTATTTACTTTTGCATAGATACCAAAAGTTTTATTCAGATCCAATAATTAGATGGATTTTGTATTTTGGATGGATTTTCGAAGATTTTACCACCCCTAAAAAGATAACGTTTTTATAATGACAGTGTTTATACAAAGCAAATAACATTTTTAACGCAAATATTTCCGATTTTACTTAAAATCTAAAAATATTTTGTTTACTTAAAGGTCAAATTTTCCACCATGAAAATACCTTACACACACATATATATATATATTATTATTATATTATTATTATTATTATTATTACTAATATAAACATCATATTTAGTAGGTACATGTATTTGAGTAGACATGCCTGCTTTTTAATCTTTTTAAAAAAAGTGCATTACAGCAAAGCGGAGCAAATCTTATTTATTATAACTATCGATATATATATATATATCAGTGTACAGAGCAATACTTCCATTACTGGATAGTTCGTCATAAAGGAAATCATAGGTGGTAGAACATAAAAATATAGTAGGTTGGTGATGGTTCTTCATGAAAAGTTTCGCACATTGAGGATTCAGACAGAGATTGGGTTTTTGCTAACGAGATCCACCAGAAAAATTCACCATCCACAAAAATATCTGTCGGTGAGTAATTCCCTTTTCTCTGTTTATTTTTCGGTCCGTTAATGAAGAACACAGGAGTGTCCGAATATTCCGGACTTAAAACCTTTCTTTCCGTGCTTCATTTATGTCATATGATTAATAATTAATATTTAATAAATGGTTATCGTACTGATTATATTGGTACCCTTTCATTTGCCCTTGTTTTATTAACTAACCTATCTTTTTTTTATAAATATATGTGTGTGTGTGCGTGAGTGCTACATCCTTTTGAGATACAACTGAAAAGAACTGGCTTGATTTTTCTTATTCTATTATAATAGTTAAACAAAGTATAAATGCACAATGACAATTGCAAGCTTAATTACGAACAGTTATGTATTTTTAAAAAATACTGTTTAGGCCTGCAATTGGATCGATGATCTAACATTCGGTGTGGCCTGTGACAGAAAAAAAACAAACCAGGAACGCAGAGCAATTAATTCTAATCGGTGACAACATTTTATACCTTCCGGCTTTTACCGGAAGCAAAAGATGTCATTTTGAGTCGGCCTTGATCAAGGGTAACATGAAATCGCTTTGAGAAACGCATATAACCCGTGAGCAATGTGTTGATCACATTGACATATTAAAAAGAAAAACTACATGATTAATCTTCCTAGATAAGTTATGCACGAAGAATTGATGACGTGTGATCTTCTTAGGATAAACAAAGAAACTCTTTATTTTAATTTTGTGACAACGGCAAATTTTAATTATAAACCTTTTCACATTGTCCTGTCGTTAGATTTTACTCACATGTTAAACAATTACATCCTCCTTAATTAAATATATTCTTTATATATATATATATATATATATATATATATATATATATATATATATATATATATATATGTTTTAACATACAACGTGTCTTAGCACGTGCGATACCCTGTCTTAATCAGCCGCCGACTAGGGGTGATAACACGGTTTCGGTGGCTATGGCGGAACCGCCACCCCAGGCGCCACCAGCAGCGTTTGCCACCAGGCAGGGTAAAAAAAAAAAAAAAAAAAAACTAATTGATCGTTCCTCTTTGTAAATTCTTAATGAATAAAACGATTGTTCCTCTTTGCAGCTTCTGTCCGTAATGAAAGTTCCTGAATGTGTTTGCCGTTATTGACGCGTTCGTAAAAATCGTTATAAACGACTACGCAAATCTTAGATTTTATTCACATGTTAAAGAATTACATCCTCCTTAATTAAATATATTCGCCTTATATAGATTATTTTCTAGTTTTAGCTTACTTAAGATCAAAAGTGTACAGCCCCCAATGAAAATCACTACGCAGTAGTAAAGGTAAGCGCATGGGTGGGTTGTTAACTATTACTGCATGTTAAATAAACTTTTTTCCTTTTTAGCATATCACTAATTTGACCAAAAATTACAAACCACTTTGAATTAATACAATTATTACTTTATGGTTAGCTTAGCTCTAACTATTGTTATTTCTATTGCAAAATTCTGGGTCAATACATTGCAGATAATTATATTTTTTTATTACAAGTTTTATTATTGTTACTTTTCATCACAACACTTTTCATTATTTCTATTATCTTATTACTAGTTTTATTGCATTATCTCATTGTCGCTTTTTATTCAGGACACCTGCTAGATGGTGTGAAATCAACGATATAAAAGGAAAGGACTCACTCCCACTTACTCTATATTTGCTCGCTCAGAAACAGATCTCATCCTACTACCCGGAAAACTGTCATTCTAAGAAATATTGCATGTAATTAATTTTAAATAAATTAGATGTAATATTTCTTATAAGTTTTAACTTTTAAGTAAAGTTATGTAATATCAGTCCTTCTATATGGCGATGAAAGGTAGTCAGTCTCCTCACAGATGAATAAAAGGTTTGAGGCAGCACAAATGTGGTTCTACAGAAGGATGCTGAGAATACCATGGACTGAACATGTGAGTAATGAGGAAGTTTTAGTGAAAATGGAAAAAAAATCCACTTATACTTAACATCAGAAAGAAACAGCTGAAATTTCTCACGTACATAATGAGGAAAGAGAGCCTGGAAAATTTGATACTCACAGGGCATACTGAAGGCAAGACAGACAGAGCAAAACAAGGCATAACCTTCCACCAAGCGTAAATGGACGGTGGAGCAAGGTTTAGGAGAGATAGTAAAAAAGACAAAGTTTATTAAGAGCTACAAAGAACAGGAACATTTGGGAGAGCCATGACTGCTAATGTCCTGAAGAAACACCTTACATAGAAGAAGAAGAAGAAGAAGAAGAAGAAGAAGAAGAAGAATCAATTCAAATATAATGTAAAACATTATTAAAAAGAGTATAAATTTATATTAATTGAGATAAGAATTCAAATAACAAGCGTTCTGTATCTATCTATGTTTCTGAGATGAGGTATTATGTACATTATTTACATTATTCGGACTATCGTCCTCGTCTTTGTCGTCATATGTATTACAACATTTTCGGCCGTTGTACGCTCCAGCCTTCTTCAGGTGGTTGGAATGTCGAACTTAATCCTTTATTTCGCTCACTAAAAGCTTAAGTTCGACATTCCAACCACCTGAAGAAGGCCGGAGAGTACAACGGCCGAAACGTTGTAATACATATGACGACAAAGACGAGGACGATAGTCCGAATAATGTAAATAATGAACAAGCGTTCTTTATGTATATTAAATTTCTTTTAATAAGTTCATTTTTTACGGGTATATTGTTTGGGGGTGGGGAAGAGAACGGATTTGTGAAGCTATTTACCGGCTTGTATCCATTTCTGACGCTGTCTATTTCCTGCTCGGTGTTCGAAGCGACTAATTGCTTCTCAGATATCTTTTCCGATAAACTCTTGCTAGATGACAGAATCTGAATAGCCGTCTCGTCTTCGAGAATGTTTCCCTGAAAGTTGAACGATGAAAAATTAAGTGACTTGATTAAGAAAACCATATTAAAACGAAAGAAACAAAGATGAAACAAAAACTGTGTCATAGAAAAAAAAACGGAAGATTGAAAAGAAATTCTGATACGACCGATCTGACCTTAAGCTTTTTCGTCTCAAGTCAGTTTTTTAAATAATGTTCAACGGCTTTTAAGAAATACGGACTCGATAAAGGAATTTATGCGTTTAAATATTGAATTCACATACGATAAAAAAAAAATAGGCCACAGAACCTTTCGACTTTGAAGCCACCCTGAAGAAAATATTCATCTTATAACAACAAAAACCTCTACAGAGGTATCGCCCATTTTCCTTGGACTGATTAAGCTGAACTTCACCTACATGGGATACGTTACAATTTGATTATACAAATAGGTTTTATTCGTCTTTTAATAAGATAACATTTTAAAAATTGAAATTATCGCCTGTTTTGTTTCTATGTAATACTAAAGAATTTAATGGGTTATCTCAGCAGAAATATAATTTAACGTATGGTGAAGAGGAAGGTACGGTGGAATAATGGATAGCGGCTCGGTTTGAAGATTCAGGGAGCTGGGTTCGAATTCAAGTCGAGTTCATTACATTCACTTACGAATTACGAATCCAGACCCTAAGACAACTCTGAATTCAAAACCTGATGACCTAGTCTACGAAACTTGAGAAGAAGATGGGCGCCGCCAAGTTATCTGAAATTATCATGACGATGAAGAAGATTCAAAGTGTATATTCCGCCCTCATGTCGCCCCGATCAATCGAATCAGTCAATAGGACTGATGATGATGATGATGATGAAGGTAAAATAGAATTGTGCGAATAAAGTGTTTAATAGATATCTTGAGTAATAATTTTAATTGAATATATCAAAACCGACTGGAATTGGAAATCGGCTCTCCGATTTTCAATTCCATACCGTTTTCCATTACACCATCCGTACATCCATACTTACAGCACCTGGTAGTCCCAAACGGTCACCCATCTAGGTACTGACCAAGCTCGACGTTGCTTAACTTTGGTAATCGCACGAGGACCGGTATTTCAACGTGCGAGCCATATGTGCATGTAACGACCAACGCAAGAATGAGAGTCTGAATAATAATGCATGCGGTAATGATAATTCCTCATCTAAAAGTGATATGTCCCGGAAAGGGATATATTTGAACGAAGTAGCTAAGTGGTAGAATATGGTAGCAGTAATCGACTGGTACGCGTCGTAGTCGCAGGTAAGAAGTGTAGATCAATGGCGTAGTCCAATGGGCGTCGTTATAGACTTAGCTCTCAGACTAAGGCTCTCTTGACTCACCCACACATCCGTCGGTATTTATGATGGACACCAGCCAATCATATTCCAGTGAGGGAGAATACAGGTGTATGCATATTCCATTATATCAAAAAGTTTGAGTCGGTATTGTGAACTTATATATTTTATATCAATATATATATATATATATATATGTGTGTGTGTGTGTGTGTGTGTGATGCCTAGATAGTTTACTCTTTTTATAGTTCGTCTCGCAGACTGATTCATCAGAGTATTGAAAATGATCAATTCTACAGTGTCCTTGTACTAAACTAAGCTAGTTGATAACAAAAGCCCTGATAGTCTGATCAATTCGAACCTCACTCTTCTACTGCAGCCTTGTGCCAGACTAAGATAAGCATTGTACATGCACACATCTGCAACTATCATAGTGCGATAGTTTGAAAATACTTCCAATAATTAGTTCGATCCTTACTCGATATCATACTGTTGCGGTCGTAAAGAAAACTTCATAAAAATTTAAAGATATTGAAGATTTTCGGTGTCAATTTTACCTGAGTATTTGAAAGAACTTGTAATATTTTATCTTCAATTTCCTTCAGCTGCCGTTTGTTGAATGAGCTTTCTACAATCAACTGGTTCTTTTTTTCTTCCAAATCCGGCTTTTCCCGCGCGGCCACGATTCCCAAAAGCTGATCTTCCAAGCCCAACGGCGTGATCATAAAATTGATCATGGTCACCTGTTGAAAAATCAGTACTGCTTTAAAGATAGGCCACGACATTTTTTTTATTTTATTTACAATTTTTGCCCGTTTACTTATTCCACGAAGAAATTTCGCTATATGTTATCTTTCTAATAAATAACAGTTAAGATCGAATAACTTATTGTCATCTGTACAATTACATGCCTTTCTTTGAACGGTTAACATGAAAAAGAAAACTTCATTGGGTGTTCGTAGCCATCTTCTATAGATAGGGCTTGAAATCTTTGGCTTAAAATCTAAGTTCTTGTTATCTGTATAGAATTGTAGTTTTATCCACAAAAATATCTACGAACGATATCCAAACTAATTGTACCAACTGAATTCTAATCAATATCCATTCAAACATAGAGCGCAAGCATTAGTTTATAATGTACTTAAATTTCAAATAGGAGCAAGAAAAGTCATTAATCAAAATTATTTTCTAGTGAAGATGAAATTAAAATCTTCATTGGTAATATCCTGCTTCACTTGTTTTCAATTTCAAATTTAATCTTATGCATTATTTTATCGATGTTATTCTGAATAATATTTCTTAATTACCCAATATGATTGGCTGTGAATTGGAAGTTTCAGAATATTCAGTCGGTTTCAACATGCCTTATTTCTTTTTATGTACTTTCAGAACGTAGGCGATCATGGCTCTTCACCTCCATCTATCCCTTGCAGCTCTTAACAAGTTCCTTCCTTCTGCTTCCTCCCCCAGACCACGTTCTGTCATCCACTTGCTTAAGACCGCCAGGTATGCCACGCATTGTTTTCCCTTGTCTCTGCTTCCCTCTATTCGACCCGTGAGTATCAGATTCTCCAGGCTTTCCTTCTTCATTATGTGTCCCAGAAACTTCAGCTGCCTCTTCCTGATATTAAGTATAAGCCTCCTCCTTGTTTGCAACCTCTCTAAGACCTTACCGTTGCTCACACGCTCAGTCTATGATACCTTTAGCATCTCTGTCGCCTCGATTTTCTTCTTCATAGGAAATCTGTTCTTTGTTACCAAAGAAATCCTCCTGTCGCTCAATACTCTGCCCAGCTTTTGGATTGTGTCTTTGACCATCCGAATACGTCTATGGATCTCAGTATCGCACTTACCGTCCTCTGTCAAAATCCTTCCTAGATATTTAAACTTCCGTATCTACTTGATTCTAGTGTTCCTGATCTGAAAATTGCATTTCGGGCTTATCCTCTTACTGATGACAATTCATTTTGTTTTCTTGTAGTTTATGTTTAGTCTCTTCTTCTCACTCTCCGTCGCTACCTTCTGTAGATTTTGTAATTTCTTTTCCGTGTCTGCTGTCAGTACTGTGTCATTTGCGTATCTTATGTTGTTAAGCTTGTGGCCGCTGATGCTAAATCCCGGTAAGTTTTCAACATTTGATGTTTCTAAATATAAACTTTAAATATCAGTGTGTTCGTCGTCGTTTTAATAACCGCGACGGTTTGATCTTTGGTCGAGCATGCGCAAAGATAGTAACAGTTTCATTTAAGATTGAAGATTTTTCAACGCTATAATTTGTTTTGTATGATATAATGACAAAATCTATGATAGATAAAGCTGTATAGTCTATGCCCGATTCTCTTTGTTGATTTATGTTATTTTGCGCTGTTTCTTTCCGAGCTGTAATTAATAATCGAACGCAAATTTAAATCTTCAAAGAAATGTATTTACGCATATAAATAACCATTTTTCACATTCAAATTCTAAAATATTATTAGAATAATATTGATATATTCTGTCTTAATAAACTAACTCAAGTCAGAGTTTGGAAGTTATCGAAAATTAAGATAAACTCGAAATACGCTATTCATAAACTCTTTTTACCGCAAATTCATCAATACTTTTCATTTATATATCTCTAAATCAAATATATAATTTATTGTATCTTTGATAGGCCGGAACACAGTCTCAAAGGAAAATTTTATATCGGCTTTCCACTTTATATCGGTCGTAAGTTCACTTGGCATCAGTCACTTTCCCTAAACGTAGCTTCTCTCTCTATCTTTTCTATAAATATTTTCATAGCAATTGTTCTGATGAACTCTCCTCATTGGTACCTCAACTACATTAATCTAAGCGTATCATTAGATTGACATCTCGGTTCTATCATATTACTGTTGAAATTTCTAAATGCAACCGAAAGTTCTATTCTAACAGTTTCTTCAGTTCTCGCTTGTGAAACTCTCTTCCAGCTTCCTGCTTTCCTGTCAACTATGACCTTCAAAACTTTAAATACAACGTCAATCGTCACTGTTCTGTCTCGTTGAATCCTGTTCTTTTTTTTTATTTTTATTCAATAAGGTTTTCTCAGCTATCTCCACTCTCGGTAACCCCTTGTGGCTTTATCGCCTTGTTTGCAGTGAAATAATTAAAAATATATTAAAAATTCGTTAGGGGCCTTTAACGAAGACTAAAAATATAGCCTATTTCTACTCTACTTTCTAAGAGCCCATTATAGTAAAAGTAGAAATTCTTTTGTTCAAGGTTCTATAAACAAATTATAAAAATGCTCAACTCCTAAAAATAATAATTACGGATTTATAACACTTAACCGACTTAACAACAAAGGTGCTATACATTTTAAAATAAATTTGAGGTGGGTGAAATATTTCAAACCTTGACTGATACTCCTGGTAAGTAATGTGGATTTCTTAAACGAGTTGTGATGTATAGCCGGAAGTCTTTGCTGAATTCAACAATATGGTCTCCAAAACGAATGAAGTCGAGGCCATTCTTTTAAAAAAAAATCAAAAAATCAAATTAAGATTAATATGAAACATAAATCTTTGATAATTTTTTTACAAAAGAAAATGATTATTTTGTAGTTATAAGTTAATGAAAATCAGTCTTCATTCAATAATTCAATGGATGACAAAACCAGCAACTCTTCAAAACTTGACTGCAGATAATATCAAAATGTCTTCATCTTACAGTTTTTTCTATCTCTTTCCTCCATAACTTCAAAAAATCAATCATTTTCACTGAATTTCAGAGTCACTCAAATTAAAAGCATTTTTCACTGAATCTTGTTCTTAAAATGTCATTAAAATATTTCAAAACTCAGCCATTAGTTTTATAGACGATATTGATCCAATTAAATTGATTTAAATCATTTCCTCCTAGACAACGCCGATTGATTAACTCTTGACAAAGAGATTGGTGAGTAGTTGATTCCATCTTTAAAGATAAAAGCGATGAATGACACCATAAAGAAATGGAGATTTATATTTAGTGCTTTTACAATGCAACTGCATGCGAGACTCGATTCACTCCTCTTCTGGCCAAAGTAATGGCAATTCTTCTTTGTGCCGTGTCCCCTCATGATGAAGGTGATCATGGCTCTCCACAAGTTCCTGTCCTTTGTAGCTCTTAATAAACTTTGTATTTTGTTATTTCTCCTAAGCCCTGTTCCTATGAAAATATAGAAAAGGCACTCTCTCTCTCCATCTATCTGCGAACATCTTTAACTTTGGTGATTTTAATGCGCAGCACGACACGTAGTTTAAACACTCTAATGTTAGCGATTTTGTCAGTATTCAGACTTTCAATTCTCCCATTACTAAATCCCTTACTAAAATTGTGAACTTCTCTACTCATTTCCGTACCAAATTTCGGGCATCAAGATTCTTTACTTGATTTATTTATTACCTCCTCTTACCGAGCTTCGCAACACTGCCCTCATGATAAGGATCACTCTGTAGTATCTACTGATATTTCGTTCCAGTCATCTATTAAACCTCTTTCCGTTACCAGCGCGTACTGATTAGGATTCACTTCGTGACTTGCTTCGAGACGCCCTTGGACTGACATTTTTAACCATCGTAGTGAGAATTGCCCAGCTGAAGTTTCTTCTTGGGTCGAAGCCGTCAGAGATGCTTTCATTCGCTCTCGGAAATATCAGGTAAAACCTCAGTCTTCTCCATAGTTCACAGCAGCATTCTCTACCGCTATAGCCCACGGGAACCATTATTTCCGGCTATACCAGCGTGACATTTCCCATCACACCAGACGCCTATTTGTGGTTTC